ACCACTTTTGGTCAGTTAAAGACCATAGTTTAAAAATTCTGTCATGAGTGGTGCAATATTTATGGAAGTCACTGTATTTTGAGACGTTGTACAATTACTTGTTGTGATTTATTAATAGGATTAGGGTATGATTTTCATATTTTATTACGGACCATATTGGGCTAAAAGTTAATCGGATAAACGTTCTTGGGCAGTTAGATTGGACTTTATATTATTTGTCTCACGTATGATGTACAGGACTTTCAGATCTGCCTTAATTCAGAAGTTGTAACACATATACATCCATAAAAATCAACGTCCGGAAGCCCTAGTATACTAGGAAAGTCTCCGCATCGGAGATCATTTGGAAGTCACGAGACTGCCAAATTTTTGTGGCATGACTAGTATACCTGGGAAAGTTCAAAATTGTAACTACTGTTCTCCTGTATGCAGAATGTGACCAATGATAATTGATGCGCAGAAATTCGCGCATATCGAATGACGTTTAGTTAGAATATCGTGACTCAAAAAGATTCGCTACAAAAAACGACAGAAATTGAGCTAGTTTACGAAAAAGCTTCGCAAACTGCTTTACAAAAATCCATCCAACAAACTTTATCATTTTAAAATGTTTGCTCTCACAAGCGAATTTATTATTGGATTGTTGATCGGAATTATCCTGGGATATTCCTTTTATTACAAAATCCACAAAGACCAGCTGCATATCATAAATCAGAAAATTGATGAATCAATCAATTTAATGGAGCCGAAGAAAAAACCTAAATCTACCAGACAAATTGGCCAACGTGATTATCCACCAGAAATCAAAAACTTGTGGAAGAACTTTCAAAATCTTATTTGACAATAGGCTCGAATTGGACTCGAATTTTTCATTCAACAAAATGGCTATTGAAATCGGCGAATTACTCGGTAAAGGAAACGGTCTAGCTGTTTCTACGATTAAAAACTATTGTCTACGGAAAACAACCCCACGGAAAAAGACCGTTGAGGCAATTCAACGTTGGGTTAACAAAGAAAAAAAGGAAAATGTAAACCGTTCAGATGAGGACAATGAAAATAAAGAAATAGACGATAGCACCATTATTACTTTTCAAATGTCATCATTCACACTGGTCATTTTTACAGCCACATCATAATCAGCCTCTCATTTATAGAATGTTCACTTTGTCTGGTTTTGTTGCAGCATGCCCCATATGATCTGCTACTGGTCCTCTTTACTCTTGTTAAATTAATTCGTGCAATGTCTTGTATGGAATGTATGTTTCATTTTATACCGACCATTCAAGCCGTCGACTTCGTTTAGGTAAGATAGGCGTATGCTCTATTTGAATCGTAATGGTAACGCAGAGTAAAAACCCTTATGTTTTTAACAGATAAGAAAGAATATAGCCCCGAACCGAGTATCGAGATCGTATACAGTCACTTTCATGACCAGAGTTGAAACGTTAAACGTGTCGTTATTTTAGTAGCGTACCGCTTCAACATGCAGCCGATATCACACACAAACCCGTCCAAGTTAGCCAACTACAAGCGGGCGGGGTTTATTTTTTTCGTTCTCACGGGGTGTCTAATTACGTCAATGATCGACGGTTTTACTATTTATGGGCGTTAATACTATGATGAATACATCTACGAAACTATGATACGTTGTTCAGACGCTTTTACGTGAATCATAATAACAGTAAAGAAGGTTCAAGTTCAATAGTCGCCCAGTGTAATCATGTTTCAATTTTTATTGTAACAACTGGAAACGGCGATATCATACTCAAGTGTTGGTTTTAAAAGACTTAATTCTAACGGCTGTTCTAAGAATAGCGTTACATATAACGATAAAGACTGCGTATGTAGTGATAACTGTAAAAGTACAATTTGCATAAAGTGGTTTGTTAAGCCGCACCGATCGATACGAACTGATATGTCGGTGTTAAAACTGTCGATAGAACTCTTTTATAAATTGAATAGTTCATTTGGCATTTAGGTGCATCAACACATGGAATACGTATTAATGGGACTGTTGAAGATCATACAATATTTTATTCTTGTAATTTTTAACAGTGTGATATGAATTAAATTTACCAAATATTAATAACTCACCCAACACATACAAAAATATTAATATGGTATGGCTAACACTTACTAGTTATACGACTTTCATCAACACCAGGAATATCTACTTCACATGTTGACATACAGTATATCTTGTAGGAATAGCTCTTCTCCTTGTCTGTCGCGTCCTGATGTATGTTTCACGCTTTTGTTAATAATATTATTAACATTCATAATTTACCGTGCCACAAGATTCTACGCAATTATGTTTGCAAATTTGCAAAACCTGGTACAAGCTGTCCCAGTTTCATATTCCAAATACTTATATCTAAAAAAAGGAAAAAAATTCTTTATCGTTAATGTTTTGAACTAGCCTTGTGCAGTTCTTAGCGAGATGTTTGGCTATAATTTCAAATACTAATTATTAAAATGAGGGATCGGCGTATGATAAATTGATTGGTTGATCATTCGTAATTTATGGACATCCACATGTTTCTTTTTTTTGAATTATGACATCATATTGCATGAACTACATATAAATTTCGAAAATGGAAGTTATAGAAAACCTTATCAAGCTATAAATTATGTTCAGAGAGAGATAGACTCGAACTAAAGCGCACCATTGGAAATTACTAAGAAAATAAAAAAGACGTCTTTGGGAAGGAAATAGTGACTGTTCACTGAATTATTTGCGACTGTAAGATATGGACGAGCTCCCGGATTATTATGTAGTTCTTGGAATAAATAATACGGCGACGTCTAGGTACAATGGATCTTTCCAAAATACAAATGTCTGTTCAGACCATGTGGCTTATTATTTTTTTCTGTTCATTTCTCTCTCCCATTGTTGTCTTGCTCCCTTCTCTACTGTCTTTTCGTCCGCAAACAAAAAGCGAAATCCGAGATGCCTACAAATTGCGCGCGTTAGAAACACATCCAGATAGATATCCCATAATAGATTCAACCGTTACAAGAGAAGAGGCAACAAAGGCCTTTCAGAAGGTGGCCGATGCGTATTTTGTCTTGAGCGATCCAACACAGAGGGAAAAATATGGTATGGTTATAGAAAATGATGATAGAGAAGAAACTTAATACCGTGTATGAACTACACTCCGGTCGTACCCTTCCTTTAAATTTCTACCCTTTATTACAGCACGAACGGTTATATCACAAGCATATATGTATATGGCTAATAACAGACTTCGATATGGTGTACTAACAACATATCATCAACACTGGTTTCTAAAGCGACAAGAAG